GCTTTTAAACTTATTGCTTGTATTTGTTTCAGTTGATGTACCTGGTTAATTTTCTGGTTATTTTACTAGTTCTCCCCTTCATTGATCAGTATGCTTGTAGAAGTGGGTTCTTCAAGTCTGCCATCCTCCCCATGTCCCCCAGAGCTTAATAATAGCGGCTTTCCAGTTTAACTTTGGTTTCTCTTTGGGATTTCCACAAGGACATGTTTTTTTTTCTCCCCGGGTTGTGGGGGGTTGTGTGGTTTTTGGTGGTTTGGATATTTTTTTGCTTGGGGTTTTTTAATGAGAATGTAACTTGCCAGCCTAAACATGATTATAAGATAGATCTGTGGCTGTGCTCTTTTGATTTTGCAATGAATTTGCAAGTGGGTAGTTTCACATGACTCGCCCTGTAAATGCGCCCCACCCTTCATATGGTGATCCTGGAAGAAACTTGCTGTGTGCATTTTCCTACTATCTTTCTAGTGGCTGCTATTGGCCTTTGATTCCTGCGGCGTGGTTTAGGAGGGTAAGAGAACACAGGCTGTCATTGCTTATGTCCTAACCATCAGCACAGGCTGCTCTGTGAGCAAAAAGATAAAGAGGAAGGAAGGAGGACAAAGGTATGGAAGGAAAATGAGTTTGAGAAGAAATAGAGAAGAAGCTTATTTGGGAAGATGGCAGGTAACACTGGCATTGTCAACATCAAGAACTGAAAGGCATGAAATCCATTTTAAACCGTCTTTTAACTATCCAACAGATAATTTAAAGGAGGAAATTAAGCAAAAATTTAGGAGGAAATTTTCACCTCTTGTTTGATCCGTCATTCTGGATTAAAACTTCCATGCATGCCTGCAGGTACATCTTGGATAGAATTAGATTCTTTTTAGCCTAACCTGATTCCTGCAATGAAGGAAATTTATTCTTTACGCATTTCTGAAATAGAACTATATTTTCCTACCCCTCATGCATTCATTTGACTCTTGGATTGAGTGCCCCAATTACTTGTTTTTTCAAAGAAACCTGATTTCTTGCTAAGTTTCTTAGAGAAACTGCTTAACAGTACTTTCTCAGAGCTTGCATGAGTAGATCAGGATAAATGCCTGGAATATCAGCTGATACAGCTGTCAAAAAATGTGCACAAAATTTCAGGCACAAAATGTCCTTTATAGACAACATGTGCTCAGAAGATATCTCAGTGTAACTTTCTAGTTAAAATAAGTTTTCAAAATATAGAAGGAATCTGTTACACTGACACACTGTAACTTGTCACTAGCACAAGCTATTTATGTCCAGTAAATATAGTAAAATATCAAAATACTTAAGCATTTGTTACCTTACATGTGTAATTTTAGAAAGTGCTGGTAGAAATAATACAGTGCTTTTAATTGGGATTTTTGGTCTGTGTACTAGAAGAAAATACATAAAAGGCAATCTTATGATCTTACTATTCCATTACTGGCAGCTCAATCCATAAATAAGCCAGTTTTGGAATAAATCCAAAACAAGAGCATGAGGGGAAAGGTATTGTTGGATGGTGTAGTGAAATGGGATAGGGTTTTTCACCTTGGGGATTGTTTGCTGAAAATAGCGGATGTCCTACCATTAAGCTAAACCAGAATATGTTTAAACATCCTTCTACCTGCCTGTGAGAACACCTTATTTCAAGGTCTTGGGTCATTGAAGTGTCATGTTGTAGCTACTTCTGGAAGGAGGGCTTTAAAAGGTGGGGGGAAGTCAAATATGAGTATTTTTTGCAAAGTGGTTATTTAGCAGGATTTGTTACCAGTCTGTAATGGGAACAACTTTAAATGAGGTTTTGTAAGGCTTACTTGGAAATAGTAGGAGATAAATTCCCACATTGTGAAACGGTGACAGTAAGTGACAAACCAGACTGTGTGTGCAACATTCACATGGTATTAAACAGGAGTGAGGAGAAGAGTGGAACATGACAGCTACGGTGGGACAGCAGGAGGAAGTAAAAATATGCTTATGTATACGTGCATACAAGTATGCCTCTATAATAAAGTACATAAAAATAAATGAATGGAGGAGCAAAACACATGCCCTGGAAAAGGACAGGATATGTGGAGAAGCATTAAAGTGGAGTGAGCTGAAACTGTTACGATTGATCGAGAGAACTGTTTACCAGAAAGTTTGAAAGCTGATTTGATCTCTGAGAACCCAAGAAAATGCCAGATCGATTCTTCACATGTGATAGTCGTCTTCACAGATAGCAGAGAGGGATTCTCACAGATGTTGTAGAGTGCCACTGTGTCTGGTAGCTTACAGCTTATCCACAGAAAAAGCCAGAATTTCGTAATGGATTACTGGCTGTGTTACATCAGAGGGTTAAGTTGGGAAAGGAATGGGTGATGAAATCGACCTCTCTGCAACTTCTGAAGTTATTTATCTTAGATCCTGAGTAGCTTTTATCTAGTATTCTTCTAGTGCTTGTGCCCTGAATGCTTTATCTGAATTCAGTTGAATAAATTCTTGTGTTTAATTGGCCTTACAGCTCCTTGTGTGTGTTCTGATTTGTGATCAGCAGTGCTGAGGGTGGCTTTGGTTGCTGGATGTTTATTTGGCTTTTCCAACTGCTGCTGTACAGAAGCATGAAGGGTGCAGGCTGAACTGCCATTCCAAATTGCCCCTGCTCACCTTGCAAATGCATATTTAAAAGGAGAACATGCACGTCACTTGTCACACTATTGTGATTTGGAAAGCCTTCTACGATTGAATCTTCTCTTGAGGTTACCTCTAGTTTTTGGAGGTATTTCCACCATCATCTGTTATTCAAATCTGTGTTCTCTTTGATTTAGACTTTTTCTTTGATCCAGATGGTGTCTAAATTTGCTGCTTCCTGCGTATCTCCATAGGATAAGGTCAAGGTCCTGGCCCTGTGGAGGCCAGCTGAGGATTTTAAGATTATGCTAATGAAACCCGGATTCTACTTCTGGTACCCATGGGTACCTCCACATTTTCTCACTTTTCACATTGGCACAACTGTTGTCTAATCCTTGCAGCATGATCTGACAGTGTCACGTCTTCTATTGAAGTGAAACCATCCTCATAAAATGGCTCAGAATGGCTCTGCTAGAGCCATCTCTGTCATGTTATAGTCTGTTCCTTTGGCACTTTCTCTGTCTATAGGTCAGGGATCTATGTGCATTGATTTTGTCTTCAAAACTTTTTTCAGCTTAGTCCTACCCGGGCTGTTTTTTCCAGGTTTGGTTCTGCTTTTTTTCCATGGAGAGTGCCAACTTTAGCTTTCTGCTTATGAAGTTTTCCCACATGCTTTCCCCAAATCTGCTCTCTGCACATAAGGAAAAACTGACAACCTGTGAAATCGCTGCTGTCTGAACATTCGAACTCTTTCTTAGATCTCACCTTTGCGATAATGCATATAGAAAATCACCATCTGCCAAGTAGGTAGCGAGAGGTAATTGTGACAGGTGGCTGCAGATGGCATACAAATCTGGTACAAGCTACGTGTGCTATCCCATCTTTTATTTCCTTGCTAGCACACCAACTCCTTTTGTTCCGCTGAATCCCTTGCTTTTAGAGGGTAAGTTGTAACCTGCATGTTTTAAGGAGCCTGTTCACTAATTACCAGAAAATAGAGAAGTGGGAAATTCCATTTTAAACAATTATCTACTGTTGCTATTAAGGTGAAACAAAGGAAGTTTCTTTTGGAAATGGCTGGGTTTTGGTAGATGATCTGTCCTGCTTTTGATTTATCTGCATTCTTTTTCTCTGCATTTTGTCTTTATGAACTTGTGAAATACTGATCTGCATTTTCCATCATACAATTGCTGTATTTTAAAAGCCCTGTTTGGGTTGGAAGGCACCTTCAAAGATCATCTAGTACAATGCCCCTGCAATGAGCAGGGACATCTTCAACTGGATCAGCCTGGCCTTGAATGTTTGCAGGCATGGGGCATCCACCACCTCTCTAGGCAACCTGTGCCAATGAGGTTTCCCCAACCTCATTGTAAAAAATGTCATCCTTATATCTAGTCTAAATGTATCCTCTTTTAGTTTAAGACCATTACCCCTTGTCCTATTGCAACAGCCCCTGCTAAGAAGTTTGTCCCCATCTTCCTTGTAGGCCTTCCTTCAGATACTGTAAGGCTGCAATAAGGTCTCCCCAGAGCCTTCTCTTCTCCAGGCTGAACAAGCCCAGCTGTCTCAGCCTGTCTTCATAGGAGAGGTGCTCCAGCCCTCTGATCATTTTTTTGGCTCTCCTCTGAACCTACTCCAACAGGTCCATGTCTTTCCTGTGCTGAGGACTCCAGAGCTGAATGCAGTACACCAGGTTGGAGGTAGAGGGCAGAGTAGGGGAAGAGAATCAGTTCCCTTCACCTGCTGGCTATGGTTTGGATGCAGCCATCCAGCAGTACGCCTAAGTCCTTCTTCTCAGGGCTGCTCTCAATCCTTTCACCCCCCATCCTGTGTTGAAACTGGGGAGTGCCTCAACCCACAGGCAGGATTCTGCACTTGTCCTTGTTGAACCTTGTTGAACATGGTCCCACTTCTTGAGCTTGTTCATGTCCCTCTGGATGGCATCCCACCCTTCAGGCTTGTCAACCACGCCACTCAGCTTGGTGTCATCTCCAAACTTGCTGAGAGTGCACTTGATCCCACTGTCCGTGTCATTGATTAAGGTGTTGAACAGTACTGGTCCCATTAAGGACCCCTGAGGGACATAATAGGGAGCTGCTGTTCAGTATGTTTCTGAGAGTAACATGATGCTTTATACTGAAATTACATCAGGTTCTGAATGAAAAATGCAGTTGGAGTAAAAGCTTCGAAGTGTTTATCTGCTGTGCTCTTGGTCTGTTTTTTGTACTTTAGAAGCATGCTATGTTAGATTATGTTTCAGTGTTATTTCTGGATTATCTTAGTTTTGACTTCTTGCTAGTAACCTTAAAATAGTCTCACTTAAAAGATTTCTAAGAAAATAAATAAAGTGTGGATCATTGCTGGAAAGTTTGAATTACTGTCTTAATTGTGCTATTTTTGCAGGACTTCAAGAATATGTTGAGGCGGTCTCATTTCAGTATTTTATCAAAACACGCTCTTTGATTAGTGTTGAAGAGATCAACAAACAACTAATATTTACAGCAGAAGACAGAGAAGAAACAACAAACACGGTAAAAATATTTCTTTTCTCCTGTGACAAACATCTTTGTGAAATGGAAATGCAATGAGTAAGCTTAGTCACATTTTTGGCATCTGATTAAATAAGGCCAGTTAGGGGAATAATATTAGATATACATGTGGACTCTGACTTGTTCAAAACATGCTTTTTATTCTGACAGCTAGTAAACTAAATCTGTGGGATACAAGTTTATAAATTTCACATCCTTCTTGTTCAGAGCAAACTGAACTCTTTCTGGTAAGGGGAAGGATTCAGGATAGTGAAATACTGGCAAACAAATATAGAGGAGGGATTTTTAATGTCTGTGACTGCCCGTAAGGCCTGCTGATAAGTATAGTGATGCTTATCAGTACTGGTGTATAGTGATATAGCAAAAGTTGGGGGTAACAAATGAATCAAAGGCAGGATGAACTCTGTGAATGAAATCTTACTGCTGGTACTGAACTAATCACAGGAGGCACTGTTTTCACCTTCTGTTAAAATGCACTGTATGTGTCTTAGCTTGGTCATTTGTAACCTTCCTGGAGCTGATCTTGATGCTTTCCCTCAGAGGACCATCATACCTTAGCCATAAAACCATATCTGCTGTTTCTTGACTTACCCATACTCCTACCCTGCCCTAAATAGAACTTTTTGTGCAGGGACAGACTACTGCCACTGACCACAGTAAACTGGGCTCAGTTTGATTGTTGACAGGGCACAAAAGACAATTTTATAGTAATGTACAGAAATGCACATGCAGTGCATGTGCAGTGTACAGTAATGCACAGCTTCAGTTGAATTCCTGAGTCTGCTCCTGTTGAAGAGATTCTACTGTAAAGCACTTCTGATGCTTTTTCATTCTCTTGGTAAGATAATTCCAAAGAAGCCATGTTTTCAGCTTAAGTTCATTTGTTCTTACCAGAGGCAAACCCATTGTGGCACACTTGTTTTAACAAAGTGTGGAGTTATTAACCCCTGCATACATGCCTTTGACCAGATTTGTGAATTTGGATGGATAGCATGGGAGCAAGGGACCAGCAATAAACTTGTGTTGTCTTCCACATTACCAATATTTTGCAATAAAAATCTTTGGAAACTTGAGTATGGGAACAAACCTGTAACTTTGTGATGAGTTTTCTTCATGAAGTATTTTTTTAGCTATTTTAATGAGTTTAATTGATATAAAATAGATCTGAGAGAACTATACCTATCAGCTTGTGGGAGAAAATATATTTTGAAATTCAAGGTACTACTACAAAATTTTATGATTGGTTTTCATAATGCAGATTCTTTGATTCTTGACTGCTTTGATAATTCTGGATAGACCATTTTGGGAAAATTTAGATCTATTAGGCTGAGACCTGTCAGCCAAAAAAGGAGAAAAAGTAAAAAAAGCAACTGCAAATAAATGCTAGTACAAAGATGTGATAATTCTGTTTGCAAATAGAGACTGTAGAAGCAGGGTATGTTTATCATGTTTGCTAGAATGGAAATCTCATTTCCAGTGGAAACAATGCTTTCATACCTTCTGGTATGCTGGAAGGAGGTTAGTACTTCTGAAATCAGACTGTGTGGAAGTGCCATGCAATTTAATTTTCCAGAATGTTTTCAATTACCAGTTATGTCAGATAAGTCAGTGTGGTTTTGAACCGTTATAGGCTGTTTTTTCATGTTTCTCTGTACTGGACTTTGTTCTGCCCTCAGACCTGCAATTCCCAGGATACACCACCACATACTTGGAGGCTGAAGGTAACACCTGTCGATTACCTGCTGGGAGTGGCTGATCTAACTGGAGAGCTGATGCGGCTGTGCATCAGCAGCGTTGGAAATGGTGACATAGACACACCTTTTGAACTTAGCCAGTTCTTACGTCAGATTTATGATGGTTTTACTTTCATTGGAAACACTGGACCTTACGAAGTATCTAAGAAGCTGTATACCTTGAAACAGAGTCTGGCAAAAGTAGAGAATGCCTGCTACACATTAAAAGTACGGGGATCTGAAATCCCAAAGCACATGCTGGCTGATGTGTTCTCCACCAAAACCGAATTGATTGACCAAGATGAGGGTCTTCCTTAAAATAAGGAGACTGTTGCAACTCAGAAGGGAAGAGGACTTAGAGAAAGCTTTCTAGTTACGGTTTGTGGGGTTTTGACTCTTCTCAAAGCTTTTTAGGTAGAGACGTTTTTAGTTTTATCTAAGAGGAGATTGTTTGCAGTGGTAATTTGTAACCAAACATACTTCTTATGGTGTGCAAGAGAACAAATGTTTGACTTTGTCCTCTCAGTTTGAAATTTCCTGTATTGCTCCATTGTATCTTCTTTGAGAACTATCAAAATTTCCACTGCACTCTACACCACTGACTGTCCTTTGTGTGTCACCTCAAACTGTTATGGTTGCTGTTACCAGTTTTTGGCAAGCACAGCAGTGGAATAAAAATGGTGAGGTACTGTTATTTAGCATTATCTATATATTTCTGCTGACCTGTTTTCTGAGTATTTGGGTTCTATACTCATACCTGAAATAATGCACCTATCCCTGTGTAAGTTCGTTCCTTGACTTGAAACTGAGGTGGTCTCAAAGGTGCCATGTAACTTGATGTTTTCTCTGATTAATGCTTTTGAGCATGAAACTGAAACTATGTCAACTTTTGGCCAGTTGATGATGAAGCTAATCGCACCACGTAACTACTGCTGTGCACTCATTGTTTTGGGGCTCTGTTTAAATTGAGCTCTGCTCAAGTTAACACTGCTACTTCACAGTTTTGACATGAGCTAGAAAATCCACAAAAAAATCCCCAGTTGTGGAATATATTGGTTTACATTTTTTGTAATACAGTTTAATGCAGAATCTGACATCTTTCTGTTTGTAGACAAAAGCAGACGACTTACCAAGTAGCAGTTTTTGGCCAAAACATGCATGGTTCTGGAAGTCTGTTCTCCATTGTTTGTGCTGCCCTGAGGACCTCCAGTGGGGTTGAACTGGTATAAGTGAAAAAAAAGCTTTAAATATCTGTTAGCAGGAACTGTATCATGTACATGTTCCTATGGAAAGGAAATTGCATACAGAAATAAGGCAGACATTCTGACTTCCACATTTATCTTTGAGGTGGGTATGTCACCATTGGCAAAAAATCAGGGCTTTCTGCCGGTGTCTGAAGTTATGAAAGTCTGATAATGTACATTATGTTAAAGGAAAACAGATAAAACAACATGATCTTTAGACTCCAGGAAATAGGCCTCCCAACTGCAATTGAAAATACTGCATGTTTTTTATTTCCACTTCCATATGCTGTGATAGTGCCAGTATTTTTCCCATGAGCATGTCCTGAATAGCTGGGATCATCTGATACATGGATAGGAATGGGTAAATACATTTCTGTCACATTTTTCCATTGTTTCCACATAAAGCAATATATGATGGGTTGAACAAGGAGTGGCTTTTTTCCTATTGTTTAATACTATTTTTTACAATAAATTCTGAAATCTAGTCACTGCCTGTATTTGGTCCTTTCGCCTGTTTGTCCCAGCAGTAGATAATGGTGTGAATTTCCCACCGTGCAGGGCTGGACTTGGAAGTTTCACTTATTCCTGTGTTCATACTTGAAGGAACACTTTCTAATCCTGAATCTCTTTTCTCTTTCTCCGTTAACTTTATTCTGTAAAGTCTAAAAACTAGTTAGGAGAGAAACTTCATGTGATCCTCTTGTATTAAAAAAATGCAAAGGATTCAGATGACAAAAGTTTATCACTGCAATAAATCTTTAATGGCACCCACGTTTTTATATCTCTCCTTGGTTTTCACCTGTTTCTGATGAGAAGAGGGGAAAGAAAGGAAAGGATATTTTTTAATAAGGATTTTTTTTTTTAATTTTTCTT